AATGTGCTGATGAAATTAAGAGCCCGATACCGATATCAATATCGATAGCTTAACACCACCGTAAACACCACTGCACTGCAATTGATTTCACTTGATTTCACGACGATGATTTAAAAATACTACATAAAAACTAAAGATTTCATGAAAAGCACAGAATAGATTTACACTTATTTCTCTGGGGTTATGAAATAACTTATTTTACACACAATAAATGTATGGATCACATAGTAAATGACATGTTGTTTCACATATTCTATTAATTCGTCAGCCAATAAATTAGCGTCGTACGTGAGTTGACTGTTGTTCGGGTACGTGTGTGTGTAGCTTGGTGGATCGGAGGGGGCGCGGCATCCATAAAATGAAATTTTGAAAGAAAGACCCCAGCCTTTAAACAGAATATATGAAATGATTCATGTCATGATGTGGATTTAGTCTAGGGCTTAGATTAAACTAGTAATGCTCGTTCTGAGAATGTTTTTCATGTAGTGTAGTACCAATAAAAAAATGTTCTTCACTGCTAGCTCATAGAACTAGTATTATAACTAGATCTAGAGCTTAGACCTAATTAGCCTAGAATTAGAAGGCTAGATTATAAAATGAAAGTTGAAAATGTTGTTAAAACCTAATAAATACTAGAAAGGCAAAGAAAAGGTAGGCTTATGCTTTACCTTCTAGGTCTACTTTGAAACGAAATCCCCGTTCGTTTCTAGGTGAGCTTACTTACAAACAAGCACATGAATGACCCATTTTAATATAAGGAAATCCGAAGGCCCGGTCCGAAGGGACGAGGCGATCGGTCAGAGCCTTGACGCCGCGCCCGAAGCAGGCGCAGCAGATTTGCTGAGCCTGAGTGCTTCGCTAGAGACAGACGAACACTGCAAAGGCGCGAATATACAAACAATATTTTGCAATAAATTTAGACCTTACCTTGTTATTCTTCTTGGAGCTGTCTAAATATAGTCGACGGAAAAATCAGTGGTAAGTCAGCATTATTTCTTTGGCTAAAATGTTAAATAATAATTGAAATGATGGATGATGGTTCCTAGAAAACTTCTAATTGTAGACAGTTAGCTCGCTACGCGCATTACGATACTAGAAGAATGCAACGTACAATCTTAATTGTGTGTGTAAAATGTAGTAAGCTCGACCACACACACTAGTAGTCAGTTCACTCCCATGAACGCTATTTAGCAGGTTCTAGCTCACACTCGCGCCGGCCTGCCAGGCCAGGCGGGCCCGTCAGATCAGATGCGCTGTTCTAATGCGCGTGCCGAACCAGTGCATTGGGCAAGCTTTTTTTACGTGTGAATTGTAAAAAGGGAAGGATAATTATATAGGGGCGCTGAAAAAACAAAGGCTATGTTTGGATTATTTGGTGAATCGGTGTTACATTAATATGTTGAATTAATTTGTTTTATTAGATTCTCTGTACTCTGTAGGCATATACTAGACTAGAACTCTGAGTCTATCTGACTTTACTTTCCTTTGACTCTTCTTCTCCGAGCTCCCAAAACAAGCTGCTAATCCCGTTAATTTTACGTGGGCGTGGTTTTCAACCTCTTTAATATCTGACATTCGGGGGAGAGGGAGGGAGGGGGATCCTCAGATTTGGTTTGGACGGGGGTGTGCCGCTCAAGCCTAAACCACTAGGTGTAGGCCCATCGTTTAGAAATTTTTGTGTGAAAAAGTATGTCATAATATGTGATTAGGCATACCCCCCCCCCCCCAGATTGGGAAGCAAGTGACAATTCGGTGAATCTGAGTTATCTGTGTTTCTTAGGCATATAGGGCACATAATTATGCCTACCCATCACGTCCGACTTTTAAGCAATATTAGCTAGACTATTCTCATTAAGCTGATAGTCATATGAATTGTATTGGACGGCAATATAGACTGAGGTCTAACTCGTTTTTTGTCCAAAATGTTCACGATTACTTATATCGAACTGTGTTTGTATTGTTGTTCTTCAGAGAAAGGAGTATGAGGGGGGGGGGGTGTACAGACATGTAGGCCTAGGCTAGGTTGTATCTAACGATGATGGTTCCTCCTTTCATCAATTCCTCCTTACGCCCCCCCCCCCGCGGAAGTCAATCTCAATTTTTTCAACATGTACGCCCCTATATGGCTCATTCCTCCACATCAGGGCCGTAGCCAGAGTTTGATGTTAGGGGGGGGGGGGCACAAACATGTAATTGATCGACATCCTGGGGAGGGGCCTAAACAAGATCAACTGATATTGGAAATTGGGGGGGGGGGCACGTGTTCCCCCCCCCCCCACCCCGTCCGTGACTACGTGCCTGCTCTACACGCCCGCTCTTCTCCCCCTCCTCCTTCTCTCTCCGACTCTCTCTCTCTCTCTTTCTCCCCTCACCAGAACGCAAACTACCCGTTGCAGTCAAATGAAAATATATTGTTACACTAATTAACTCATTGATGACTTTGCTAACCCATGAATCTCAAACTATACAAGACTGTTTGTACGCCCATGCTTTAATTTATGATTTTTTTCCCATCATAGAACAATGGCAAACAGAAGAAAGGCGTGGAATCTTCAGGGCATCATGGCAGTAATGCAGGAGTACCTCAGCTGCCACGACGTGTACAAACAAATGAAACGGAATGGGACAACTAAAGGTTTCCACAAAACGGTAGCTGACAAGCTCAGCTACCAGGAGAACGCAACCGAGAACCTCCTGAAGAACTTGGGCAGGGAGTACCGGGATATACTGCAGCACACTATGGTATCTGGTACAGACACCCGAGATCCGGTACTCCGGGGATCAACGGAGCTGTACTTGCTCTTTGAAGAGTACCAGCAGCTGTATTTCCCAGCTGGAGGACAGGTATGTCTATTGTCATTATTTGTTATCATTATTATTTCATTATTTCATTTTTTTTAATTTGTCAAACCATATATTACATGCTGGTAAAAGAGTGTAAAATAATGATGATGTATTTTATCAACAAGGGAGATATCTTTGGAAAAGGCTTTGTACATCTTTATCAGAAATATATAAATATATTGGGCCTACTTATTATAGGTTAGTAATAATGCATTAGAAACATGCATGAATGGGAAAATTGCATTGGCAAACTGGGATCTTAAAGTTAAGATTGCAAACCAATGGGAACTTTATTATGCATTCACTAACTGGAAAATGGAAATCATTACAAATTTCGCCTATTTGTTTTTATATAGATCAAACCTCAAGCAGTGATTACAGAAGGAGGCGTGGTCATCCCAGGGGAAGTGATAGTCATCCCAGGTGAAGGTGATGAGGAGGCGACGGGAGCCCCATCCACATCGTCCGCTTCTCCCCCAACAAATCGGAGACAGAAGAGAAAGCGTGACGACGAAGTAATTGTCCTTTTGGGAAGGCTTGTGGACGAGATGACGGCACTTCGGGTGATGGTTGGTTCCGCTCTGGGGATCGACGTCCAGTTAGGTGAAACCGAGGACAAGGAACAATAACTATCCACGATGTACATAGGGCGTCAAATCGTTTTGCATTAAATATTATTTGGAAACATTATTTGAATTTCGATAGTTATGCTTAGTGTTGTGTGGATCTATATACAAGTTGTTGTTGATTATGTCAGAACAGAGCGACTTATACATAAAGGAGAAGGTGGGTTTTGGGAGGGTCAGGAAGTGCCACAATCTCATAGAGATATTTGATGATACAATGACAAATTACCTATTCAAAAACAGTTCTTTCTTAAACTGCGCGAGGGAGAATTATGGTTCAACGACAACCTGATAACATAACCTTTACATTATGTTTTTGTTTGCTCATCAGTTAATCCAAACTTTCAAAAAATAACATCGATTTGTGTATCTTTGTGAATCGTGGATTTCGAACACTCCCAGAACTAAACATTTCCTTTGCACTTAACAGAAGAAGGCTGAAATGATTCTAATAGTATAACAGAGCAAGTTGAATATTGTCTTTTGAATTTATTAGATATTACTAGATATACAGAATGATATGTATTATTATACACCTGAACGAAAATACAGGTTTCACAATAATAAAATTGTGGTCTCCTGCGGCACATACCTGAAATGCAATGCATATTATAGACCCAACCCCTTCCCCCCTCCCCCCCCCCCCCCACGGAATGGATGTTATGTATGTATATAATTTACATAATTTAAATACATAGAGAGGGAGAGAGAGATAGAGAGAGAGAGAGAGAGAGAGGGGAGACGAATAAGAACTAAGAGGAGGGGGCGAGCGTAAGCAGGCATGGGAACCCCCCCCCCCCCCTAGCCGAAAAAGTTTGAAAAAGGAAAATCCTGCAACCGCCACTGAGCATAAGAAGTAGAGAGAGAGAGAGAGGGAGCGAGAGAGAGAGCGAAGAAGTGACGGCATTCATTGAGATGAACTGACAAAGAAAAGGTACATTTCATTCGCAAATTTTTGTACGGTTTCTTAACTACGAGAATGATAGCTTATAAGTAATTTGTATATCGGTTGTGTAGAACTGCCATGGACACGATGAGTTTTGACGCAAAGATAATCCCTCCTTTAGCTGCGAGCCTGTTCTCTTTCATCTGAGCCATCCGCCACTTGAGCTGTGTCGCCCCGATGGTGCGCTCTATCACTTGTCGAAGTCTTGTTATATCATCGTTGAACTGTTGCTGCTCATCAGTGAGGCCGTGTCCCACGAACCGATGACCAACGTTGCGGTGGAGATTCCTGTAGGCAGGGTCCCCTATCGTTATGTATCCATCCGGGAGGTTGTCCAGAAAGTCCATGAAGGTCCTGCTCCATTCAGTGGCGGTCTTATCATGGGTTGACTCGGGGAGTCCTTAAAAAAGTAAAACAAATGGAGATTAGGTGGTGAATATATAGAAGCAGTTTAAAATAATTTACGTGGTTTGAGTTATGTTTAATTTGTGTTCAAAATTATGGGATGTTGATTTCTACTTTGGCTTTGCTTAATCTCTATATTATTTTATTACAATCAATTATAATTATGGACTGACATGTTTCAGATTAGAAATACATGGTTGAATAACATTCTCCACCTAAATTTGAGTATTAACAGGAAACTTCACAAACGTATAACAAAACTTATAATTGAGTTAGGTTTAGTAGTTTACAATTTGTCATGGATGTACTGAAAGCATAACTTACCTGTAATGATGTGACGAACTTTGCCGAATTGGTCGGTTACATACTGGGTATTGAGAGAGTCGCAAGACTTCCCATGCCTGCCGCAAAAATATGCGTTTCCCGCATGGTCAGGCCGCTGGATCCGCGCGATGTATCCGTCAATGTAGAGGATAACATTCTTTACCTAAAACAATCAATTGAAAATGATATTAGAATACAACAAATCTATACAAAAAATGTATATGCTTGATAAGGAGAAAGGGTGAGAAGGAAGGGAAAAGGGGGAGAGGGAGGTATGGTTATGATAATAGACACGCAGAAAGAGGTGATATTATTATTTAGAAAAGAACCGATCCAAATTATAAAGCCGGTATCAAAATATGGTAGGGTGCTCTTTTCCCGCAATGTGCTGATTTATATCATAAAGGTAAATAGGCACTAGACTTATATGGAAATATATTTTTAAAAAGTAACAATATAGACCAGTACATTCATTTGATTTATCCCACGTCACAAACACACACACACACAAACGCAATCTCTTTCTCTCTCTCTCTCTCTCTCTCTCTCCCTCATTTCTCCATCTATCTTTCTCTTTTACTTGACGATATCACCAAAACTAGTATACTATAATAGGCTTATAGACGTCATAATGAAGTAGAATATTTGCATAGAATAAACTCACTTCGCCATCGGGATATCGAAGTTCTGACGACAAACGTTGCATTTCGTCATGTTGTGGTAGCTGTATATGGTGCCGTGCAATGTCGAAAAGGAAATCGGCTACAAGATGGGTGTGCCGGAATGCTGCTGATGTTGACAATCCGGCACTTCTCCCAACTTGCCGGTAGTACCCACCTCCTGCTAGATAATCCAATAATGTCATTACCATTTGCTCCGATTTCACGATTCCGCGGGGCCCCGCCCCCCTCCACGCATTGAATTCGCTTCCCAGCTCTTCAATCTGCCCTTCGTTAAGGCGCAGATAGCTTTTCGTGGATTCTTCGGTGGAACACGGCTTCCTAATTTTGTTCGGCTGACGCCGAACTTGAGCATTCAACATGATTTCACAGTTCGAAAACGAAAAGCTACACAAGATGATGTTATTGCATGTGATCAGCATGAATATATGCTAGGCTACTCTAATTTAGCAACACTAACACTAACACCGAACTGGAAATCAACATTTGCTTAATCCCTAGGGGTTAGTGTTAGTGAATAGGACATTTGTACGTGAAATACTAACACCAGCCACAAAGGTCGGTTCAGCAGACGACAATTTGGCAAAATCGATAACACCAGCTACCGGAAGTTGACGATATTCAGAGGTCAAAGCCTTAACACCAGCTGGTTTCCATTTCGGTGTTAAGGCTGGTGTTAGTGTTTATTAAACACTAACACCAGCCTTAAACACCCAACTTGAAATCACTCAATGTGCTTGTAATATCTTATTACCTGAGTAAGTAAGGTGTTACGTTATGTTTTGATTTAGTCATGTTAATTCCCTGGAGCGACTTAAAGAGTGATTGTGATACGATGTTTTCAGTCATAATCACGAAGATGAATCCGTCACCATTGCGATACTGACAAACCTGTAAAATAGAAAGAAAGAAAAAAGGTGATCCGTCATGGAATGATGCATCGGATGAAGAAAAAAGATCTACCGCTCAACGTCTCTTTGTCTTGTATGCTACTACTACTATTAATGCTACTTCTACTACTACTATACCACTACGACCACTACTACTACCCCCTGGGGGAAAAAAGAAGGAACAAAAAAGGGGATAGATTATTTTTATTTTTGTTGTTGAAAAAAAAAGTGTTCCTTCCCCCCCCCCCCCCCCCCAGCCACTGAACGAAATATCTGACGACATAATTTTTCAAATTTCCGGGGCAAAAAATTGCTCTCCCCCCCCCCCCCCCCCCAAAAAAGAGAGAAGGAAAAGAAGGGAAAGAAGAAAAAAAGGGGGAAGGATATCGGGGGGCGAAAGGGCCTTGCCTCCCAGGCTGTTGCCTCCCCCCCCCCCAATCAAAAAAATAAAAGAGAAGGAAGGAAATGGAAAAAAAGAGGAAAAGAGGAGATAAAGGGAAGAAAAATTGAGGAAGAAGAAAAGAAAAAAAGGGGGTATCAGTTGAAATTTTCCCGCAAACAAGTTGTGGTCGGGATGGGGTGGGGCAAAAGGCCCTTTGCCTCCCCCGCCCCCGCTAAGAAAAAATAGAGAAGGAAGGAAAAGGGGGGGGGGAAAGAGCTAAAAGGGACCGAAAAAAGAGGAAGAAGAAAAAAAAGGTGAAAAGAAGGGGAAATAGATCATTTGCGGTTAATCCCGCCAACAACGTGTGGAGAAGAATGGGGGCCGAAAGGATCTTTCCTCCCCCCCCCCCCCCCCAGCAAACCTAAAAGGGAGAGGGAAGGGAAGGGAAAGGGAAAGAAGAGAGAAAGGGAAAGGGAAAAAAGAGAAAGAAGAAAGGTAGGGGAGATCAGTTGCGATTTTTCCGCCAACAAAGTGTAGATCAGGGGGGCGGGGCACTGGCGTATTGATTGGGGAGGGGGCTCGGGGGAAATAAAATTCAAACGTGGTTTATTTCTAATTCCTTAACGGTGGTTTACACATAATGCTGAAATGACATAATTTTCCGAGATTTTTCCTCATTTTTTAGTAAATTATACTTTTTTATATGCGTTTGTTGTAAAATGACAAATTCCTAAATTTACAGCCAGGCAAGAAATATGCTTCTTGAGATGCCTACATATCAGGGCCAGCGGAACGGCGGGGCTCGGGAGCCGCCAGCTCCCTCCCCCCCCCCTTTTTTTTGGAAAAAGTATATTCAAGAGAAACAGAAAGAAAGAGAGCAAGAAAGAAAGAATAGTTAACTGCCAGTGTCACAACAAAATAAGGTATTAAAAAAATGCTCATCTGACCTTAATTAGCCGCCTAAAACCCCTGAGCTTCCGGGGGCTCTGCCCCCTGGACCAAACCAAGGGCCCTGTAGCGGGCCCCTTGATACTCATCTGACCGTAATTTAGTGCCTAAAACCCTTGAGCTTCTGGAGGGCTCCGCCCGCTGGACCTCACGCCAATCGGTGTCCTGCCAGTGTCACAAATAAGGTATAAAAATATGTTCATCTGACCGTAATCAAATGTCTAAAAACCCTGAGCTTCCGGGGGCTCTGCCCCCTGGACCCCGCCTAGGGCCCTTGGGCGGACCCCTGGATGCTTATCTGACGGTAATTTAATGCCTAAAACCCCTGAGCTTCTGAGGGCTCCGCCCGCTGTACTTCACGCCAATCAGTGTCCTGCCAGTGTTACAAATAAGGTCTAAAAATATGTTCATCTGACCGTAATCAAATGCCTAAAACCCCTAAGATTCCGGGGTTTCCGCACCCTCGACCCCACCAGGGGCCCTAAGGACGGCCCGTGAATGCTTATCTGACCGTAATTTATTGCCTTAAAGCCCTGGGTTTCCGGCGGTGGACACAAGGTATCAAAATATGTTCATCTGACCGCAGGCGCGTATCCAGGGGGGCGGTGGGGTGCCCCCCCCCCAAAAAAGCCTGCCAAAAAAAGAGAGGAGAGAAAAAGAAGAGGACGTAGGAAGAAAAAGGAGCAGACAAAAAACATTTATGAAATTCAGACAAGGATTAAGAGTCGAGAACGGTACAACGAATCGTCTTCTTTCTCTAATAATTCAATAAAACGTCAAAGCTTCGGCGCTTTGCGGAGGAGGGAGGGGGAATCGGCTATCCCTGCACCCCCCCCATTACGTCAATGCTGGTCACCATTACGTACCAATATTTGGCTCGCATAATTTCAAATTGGCCCCCCCCCCCTAAGAAATCCTGGGTCCGCGCCTGTAATAACGATATGTGCTGTTTCAACGTCCCACTACGTCAGGTAATATATGCAGCCGCCTTATAATTCCTTATAACTGTCACTTTCGTTTCATTATACAGTAACAAGTCAGACATCCCCTCCTGAATGGCACCGGCTTGATGACGCAGTCTATCTAGTGGACACCATCATCCTAACAGGGTACGACCAGGCGCAGAGTCTCTGTCAAGGTTACGGAGCAAATCTAGCAAGGGTTGACTCAGACGAGATCCAGGTATAAACACGATTCAAAACGTTTTCTGACGTAGCAACATGTGAGGGTGATACTTTTAGTAAAAAGAATGAATGCAAAATGAACGGCGCTCTGATAATAATTGCCTTGTTCCAGGCGCATGTGATAATATCTATTACACATGAGGATTGCGCATTATACGCTAAGAGAGCATACGAAGGCAGTTAGTGTAAAGGGTAGCCTTTTGGATTCTGGCTGTTACTGCTCTGCATGAATAATTCATGACTTTTGATTTATTGACCAATTAGAATGGCCATCTCCCAGTTTATTTCGTTCGTGATTCGTTCATTATGTAAGAAATGGTAAAAGACGTAACTAGATTTGCTTATGAGATGAACATATAAATGATTAATACAAAATATCACATCCAAATCTACTTTATATGCAAAATTACAATAAAATAGGAAAAATGTGATGGCTTGAGCTAACAATTGTAAGTGAGATAATTGGACTTTCCCTGTATATAAAATGAACCAGTCCAACTCGTTCGTTTAATGTTAGGCCTATAGAACTAAGTACACTTTAAAAAACATTGGGCAAAAATTGCCCAATCTTTACCCAACATGAGGGCGATTATGTGTCCATTCAACTGTTGGGTAAATTGAAGATTTTGCATGATTTATCCAGTGTTGGATAAAAAGAAAATACCCAACTTTTAACCAACAAAAATTTACCCAATCAGAAATTCACCCAATTCTCACCATAATGTGAAGCATAAGTTACACACTAGTAGGGCAAATAAGTTGGATAAAATATTATATGCAAAAGGAGATTAGTGCGTCGGCGAGACTCGAACCGCGGACCTCGTAATCCACATTCCTATGACAGATCCACTCGACCACGACACATCTAATAAAATAAAATAACCCTATTGTTGGATAATAATGTTGCCCGACTTACGTTTGCCCAGTTACATCTGGCCAACTTATTTTGAACATTTAATTGGGTACATACATGTAGTAAATGGTAGGGAGAAAATAACCCAAATGTTGGACAAAAAAGGCCTAACTCTAATTTGCCCAATGACATTACCCAACCTATTTTTTACCTTTTATTGGGTAACTTCATAATAGCAAACAGTTGGGAAAAAATAACTCAATTATCGGACAAAATTTGCCCAACTTCGATTTACCCAGTAACATCTGCCCAACTTTTGTTTACAGTGTAGAGTTTACTGTGAACGTGATGGATAATATACGGCCGACGTCACGCGATACGTTCGCTGATTGGACGCTACCATTTCGGTAGAGAACTCCAGTCGGAAACAAAGGTTAACATAAGAAATGCAAACCAGATTACTAAAGGCCTCTTGGCTGAAGCCACTCGCTCTGGCGTTCACTTGGGTTTTCGCGATTAGTCTCGTTTTAGTAGCTCGGTGTCTATCAGACATGAGGCCTTGTCTATAGTGTAAGGGCGAGTAATATAATACAATCTGTGTACGATTTACTTCTTGAACGTCACTCGCACAGGAAAGGCCAAACCCTGCACCAGTCACAGATACAGCCTTCCGTCAGCAATGACGCCTCATGTCCAAGGGTTAATATTCATTCAATATAAAAAAAATGTCCAATTCCTTCTTTTTTTTAAAATCAAAATTGCACACGTGTACGATTTTTCATTCGAGTGATGCCACGCATAAAAAGATCTCGAGAATGTTTCACTTTTGTTAAATAGTTTCTATTCAATATCATGATACGATCAGGCCATATAACTTTTCTTGGTGATTATTTTGGTTTTAGGAATGGGAAGTGAGTCGTATGTTTTGTATTTTTCAATATCAATGTAGGCTTTCTTGACGAGTTTCATCACTCCGCCTATAAAAGATACGCGGTGTTTTTGGATTGGTTGCAATGACAGAGAGGTCGAAGGTCAATTCAGATGGCTTGACAGCACACCAGTGATGTAAGTACTATAATCACGACATCGACAATAAAATGAGTGCATTTCTTTGATTAATCTTGTAG